TTATCACCAAAGAGGAATATCTGGTCCAACTGTGCAACATGTTAGAAGTTCACTGTAATGTAGGTTGCAAAAAACCTCTGATCCACTTCCTGTTTACATGCACCCACTTCAGAAACAGTTCCAAATATTGATGTGACTCTCGAGACTGTGTATGCTCTTGTGAGAACATCTGAAGGTTGGTGGTTTTGTAAGGGTTTGATACTCTGCAGTATAAAGGAGTATTTCTCCTGCATGTAGATATACATAGAGCTTGATCCCACAGACATCCAGTAAGCTCACCATTCAACAAACTGCACACAGACCTAAGAGGTAAATGAGAGTTAGTCTTGTCTCGTCTCATACTGAACTATTGCTCAACCACCACCAAGCTGGGGAGCCCAGTTCCCACAACACCACTACCAATAACACACGCACTCATGTTCGCCCGGGAGCTTACAATAAAAGCATCCTCCACATCACAGATAAGAGTAGTTGGCTGTGTCTGTTTAATGTGAGTGCTGTCTGTAATGAGTCCTGGGTGAATGACAACATATAGGACAATATGTGATGAGTTCAATCATAGCACAACAGAGACATGGACTTCTGCTTGGTGCGGAGGTGTTTCTGGGTCTTGTCTTGAGTGAAAATTATGTCAGCTGTGTGCATACACCAGGGTGTAGCTCTGAATGTCAGCCAACACAATGACTAAATGACTGAACGGCTCAAAAATGCCCTTCTACCACCATCAACCTTGCTCCGTCTCTTGAGCTCTTTCTTTTCGGGCCCCGTTACAGCAATCTACCGCACACATCTGCTCCTTTCCCTCTCTCTCAAACATACTTTTCTCATTAGTTGAGGTTTCCAGGATCATGTTACAATTTCCCCATCCAATCCCATTTCATATATGTGTTTAGTTTGAGTTAAATGTTCTCAGTTGTGCAGGGCATTGTATAGCAAACACAATGGCTTTATGCACCACTGCCTTACTGGGGTGGCTGCTCATTCTCTAACATTGTGCATTTTAGACCCGTAGTGACTCTTTATGTCTTAATTTAACATGTATATGTGATTACAAATTTTGAAGCAGTCTTGTGAGACTGTAAAGCAGGATATTGTGAGGGTGGGACACACAGCACAGTCTTGACAGGGGGTCAGGGTTGAGCTGCACTACTGCCAAATAAAATATACTTGGAAAACAAAGTAGGGGTTAACAGAATACAGACTGGTCCAAAATGAGTTTAAGTTGGGTTACAAGTTAATGAGAGAACACAGTTCCACAAAAAAGGAAATAAGCAGTATGAAACCAGGACAAAAAGTTCACTAGAGCTACAAGAAGTACAGAGGAGCGGTATAATCTAGATACAAGGATCCCTGTCCACAAATAAAAACACCACATAAGGGGGGGGCATTTTCCACTGGCAAGAAAGCAGAAGGCAGTTATTAGCAGATATGAGGGTTAGACATAGGGATAAAGGGAAGGGAGGGCAATCTATCCACCCTGACAGTTTCAACAACTGCATGACAACCAGTACCCAGAGAGCTGAGCCCAACAGAGGAAGCAGGGAGGCATAAAGTTACAGTAAACATGGCAGCAGAGATACTTGGATATAACTTTTAATACAAAACAAACTATTCACTACTTACTTACGAAGGCAGATATTAAACTGAGAACAGTAACAGGATACTGGCAGAGGGGATTAAGGCAGACAAAAGAGAAAAATGTGCATTCAAAGGAGTGTCTCTACCAGTCAGCCAGGCACTGTACACACACAGTTCCTCTGTTGTTGCACTCTGGGGCCCATAACACTGCAAGCCTCACCGCCAAAGGACACCAAATTATAGGTTCAATGTTGGATACTTGACAGGCACTGAAAGCCCCGATGGTAAAACACACAGATGTGGCACACACTGGAAAAATATCCTATCTACCTCCCTATTTATCGATCTGTGTTCATATGCCTAAAGTTTATGATATATGAGAAAGCGAAAAGAGAAAGAGTTCAGGTTTCTACAACAAACCTCCCTGTGGTGGCTCGAAAGACGACAAAAGCTCAGAGATTGTCTGAGAGTACTGCTTCAGGCTGAATGAACTCACAGCTCACGTCAAGTACCGCCGTCTGTTCCCTTTAAAGACACCGACCTCTGCTGTGCAGTCTGTTGTCGACGGAGAGCTCGTCAACCTGTCAGTGACTTTAATTAAACTGACAACATTTTACTTTGGAGGGGCCAACGAACCGGCGGCTCCACTAAATCTTGAAGTAGTTAAAATAAAACTCAAACACAGCTTAAAAATTGTCCAAAGAGAGGCAACTAGTGTCCACTCACCCGTTCAGCGACTTCACCGACCACTCAGTCAAAATACACTGCACGCGCTAACGGACAGCGGCGGGACGAACCATTTTGTCGGAGGGATGTTGCGTTTTGTACTTTTTCAACAGTAAGACCGAGAGCTATCAGCGTTCAGTGAGACAGTCACAGTTATCGGGTTAAACTTCGTCTTGCTTTCCAAAAATCAACATCAAACTGGCCCGCTTTTTATCGGCATGACCCTCTGCTGATGATGGGGTAACGTAAATGCGACCCCCGCTGAGTTAGCTCTCTTGGTTCAGTCCTATTCAAGCTCGAAATTCTTCTGCTGTTGTTTGTCTGCTTAAACAATGCAGAGGTACACACACACACACACACACACACACACACACACACACACACACACACACGTGTTAACCTGATATATGGAGGCGATCAGTGTTATTTTCAGTGTTTTAATTAAATCACAGAAATGGTTACGTGACCTTTTAAAGGGTGAGTCAATCAATTCAGTCTACACTGAAAGTAAAAATGAACTGGAAATAGAGTAAGACATTGCATAACACATCTGTTGAAGATAGATGGTCAAGCCTAAAAAGGTAATACAAACAGTATGCTACAACAAGTAACCTCCTACTGTACACAAAGCTACAAGTGTATTGGCCCGCCCTCTTGACTCACCTGCACATAGCTCACCTGGCCACACCCAGGCTATCTCTAATAACCAGTGAGTGAGGTTGTTTGCAGACGGACATGCTTCACCTTACACATTTATTTTACTTCACTGCCAAGTAAAAAGGCCAAAGCTAAAAGGGTTTAAAGAAAATTCATAAACTAGTCAATGATTATATGTGTGACATTTTGCTGCTCCTGGTGTTTTTGTTGACATGTCACAGTAGGAGAAGTACATATGTAAACATTATGCACATGCTAGTATGAATTTTGCATACTGGCTCAGTGTCACACTGTCATGTATTACTGGAACACAAGTGCTGTTCCTTCCTATTTTAACCCATAATTCATCTGTTATTCACATGCTTTATGTTTCACCTATGAAGCGACGTTGTTTTTTTAACATTTGAAGTAAAACCTGATGTGTCCATAAGTTCCTGGTAATGGCAGTGTAGAAGATTGTCTAATCAAACAGTAGAAAGTGAGTTAGTAGAGTTAAAAGTTATCAACATACCTGGTTGTGTTTCGACATGTCCAAACAGGGGCACAGGTCTTACTTAATGTATACATGTAACCACTAGCATTAGGTGAAATAGAAACACAAAATGTACTCGCTGCAACTTGCTGCAGTAGGTAACTTTTATAAAAATAACTTTATTATTATTAATTTTTCTTTTTGCTGAAGTTTGGACTATATCCTGACAGTAGTACATGAGACAGATCATCTGTGAAAAAATCTGGTTCCTCTGGTCCTCCGAGTGCTCCTAATGGCAAGAATCTGCCGTACTTAAACCAAATGAGGAGCACTAAGAGGAGGCGGGGTAAATCTCATGTATGTCTGTTAGAAATAAAGTGACAGTTTCAGCAAATATGACAAAAACTGTAGTTCTCTAAAAGTTACCTACTGTAGCTTTAAGTACAGTTTTTAGGTACTGGAGTATTTGCATTTTTTTTGCAGTTTATTTGACAGCTGATACTACAGAAACTGGTTACTTTAAACAACATCATATTTATTTAAGCTGAAAAATATATATAATGGTATATGATGCATTGATAAAGATAAATATTAAAATATTAACCAACAACAGAGTCATACAAAATGATCTCAAACCAGCTATAACATAAAATGCGACATAAATATGTACTTGTACTTACGTGAAACGTTGAATGCAGGACTTTTACTTGTAGTGGAGTGTTTTTATCTTGATATATTGAGATATATTATAAAAAGTCAGTAATCAGTAAAACAAATAGACTACTGTTTTCACCACTGCTCGCCCAATATCTGCTTGGTAAGAGGAAGCAGGTATAAGAGAAATGGCTTAATCTTAACAGCCTCTGTTTCCAAACAACACACACATATCTGAGTGTTCATGTCTCAGTGTAAATGAAAATGATCTGCAAGTGTCAGTTGAATTGAAACTAGGCAAAGCAGCATGTAACTCTCATACTCATGTTTCTTTGTAAACTGACTGGAAGCCTCAAATGTCTTTGTGGTGTAGCAAGTGGGTGGAAAGAGCCTTGGTGCTACATCATCTTGTACATTAGACTCAAAAGTTTCCAAATGATGAAACACTACCCAGTGAACATCACATCTAGTCTACTTGTTGTCAAAGTTTCCATGGATTCAGTGAAAAAGACTTCATTTAAAGGGAAATTGAGCTTTTGGCTGTGACATTGCTTTAAACCATTGACTGTATAGCTTTAAACTCATACTGGTGACAAATAATATTAAAATTTAATCTGAAATCAAATGGTTTTTTTGAAGCATTGTTCCTGAGTTTATTGCACAATAAATCCTTACTTGGAAAAGCTCTTTCTGTGTTACTATCATCTACAGTTAAGTGCCTGAATCTAAACCTCAAACGTACTCATCTGATTATAGCCATCAGTATCTTATGACTTGTTTTGTTTTTTTATTCCAGTGGGTATGTATTGTTATGTTGTGAAATTATTTGTTATATTTTCAGCCACTGATGCAGTGCCTGTTTCTGCTTCCTGTCATGTGATTTCCTGTGAGCTGTCAAGTTCTGACAGCCACACAGTCTTATGTGTGGACAGGCTTCACATCTGCTCTACCTGCCACAAAGTGAGCCACACCAACAGGACTTAGAGGAACAACACTTACTCCAGATCAGCCGCTCCGGAGTCAGAGTGGCATCAAAAGTGAGGTGCAAAGTAGGGTATTTTGATTCAGTTTGCGGAAGTAACCTTTCACAGAAGCTTAAGTTGCTGCGTTGGTGGAGATGTTTGCTGACTTTGGTTCTATATGAAGGAAGAAGGTTGGGGTTTGGACATTTGTTATTGAAGAGGAAGTGTAGGGAGAAAAAAATGGAGGCGCACCCTACTGTCAACTTCATGAGACTCCTGTCAGGTAACAAAAAAATAATACAAATGTGGCCGTGCGTTTGCCATTTATGTGTTAGAGGCAGAGACGACATCTTGCTTGTTCAACACTGTGTCTTTACTTTAATCATCTGTGAATTTGTGTGGGATGGTGTACCTTAACGTACAGTTTACAGAAACAAAGAGCCATGATTATGAATTATTAATACTTTAATAAATAAGTTATTAATTTTATGTCTAACACAGGCCCACTATCACACTCACATCCAAAACCACATCATATGACTTACTGTAAAATAGATGTTTCTCTACTTCTGAAGTAAATCAGATGATACTCTGCACAACATGCAACCTCCACACAGAAAAGGCCAATATGGAATTTAATGCTTTCAAGAAACATGCCAAGATGTTAGTGCTGCTCAGGTCTAAATCATATAAATATTTCAAGGGTTCAATTTTAGTATTTTATTTTGGCTCAGAGAGTCATGCGATGCTAAATAATACACTTGCATTATCTATGAATTGTATTACTTTTATTCCAATGTACCCAAATAACACTGGCTTACAAGAAACTACTGACATTACATACAGAGAAAAACAAAAAGGGAAGAAAGCAAACATATGGTTCTCTATCCAGATCTATAAAAACATTTTGGACATAAACAAATCAACAGCTGAAATTATTAATCCATTAATCAATTAGTCAAATCGCTTTTACAAACTACACTTATTTTGGTAATTGAATAATTATTTGAATCATTTTTAAGCATAAATGCCAATTTATTATTATTATTATTATTATTATTATTATTATTATTATTATTATTATTATTATTATTATTGCCAACATTTGGTGATTCCAAAATTTTTTAAATGTGAAAGCTTTTCTCTGTTTTATATGATTATAACCTGAATATCTCTGGGTTTTCAACTGTTCAAAGTATAACTGTGGGCCCTTTTTACTATTTCCTGTGAGAAAAACACATTCTATGTTCTATGTGTCATTTTCACTACAGAGGAGAGCACCCATTCCTCCCTGTCGTCCGACTCCTGCGAGTACTATCAGACAGAGATATTTGATCAGCTGCCCAGCATACAGGCCAGCCGGCCCGACCAGAACACACAGGGTAATTGGGAAACCCACCAGGGTGGCCCGGAGACAGGGGAGAGCCATGGCCACCTGTCCAGAGGACAAAAAGACAAGGCATCTACACAGCCGCTCAGGAACATGGTCATGTGTATTCAGGGGAAGAGAGATGCCAGGTGTGAGAGCCCACCCCTCAAATCTGCTCCTTCTTATTCTTACTTTGACATTCTGGTGGTATTCAGTCACCTACTCTAGCACAATATGTAGCACCCTGTAATTCAATATGAATTTGATTTTCCTCCTAAATTAACTATCATGTTTTATTTTTTACTGGTATTCCACTTTAATACAAACTTTTCTTGGGGTGCAAACCCATAAAATGAAGTTTTGTTTACTTGTAAGACCAAGTTGACTTGCATATGTCTGTGTGAGTGGTGGCCAGTACGACCGAAGAGTGAGGTTCCCCCCTTAGATTGTGGTATTTGAGTACTTTTTAGGGGCCTGAAGATGTATTACTCAGCAAATCACATGCATAATGGAAAGAAATGCAACAAATATATGTTTTTGTGTAATATATTCCTTCAGCTTTCCTATTTTTTTTAAATTATCTTGTGACCCCTCAAATTTACCATAATCCTGTTGGGTTGGGGGTCCACACTTCCCGGCTGTGAGGCACTGTCTGAGAAAACCCTTAGAAGAGAGCTTTGCTGATACAGATACATAAAATATCTGCTGCTCAGTCTTTGTTTCTTTCAGGAGAATATTTGTTGTTTGTTTTAATCATTTCAACTTTGCAATAGCTGGCCTGTATTCTAAGCACATGCTCTACCAGATGAGCTACCGTGGGCCAGGCAGATTTTATTTTTAGAAAAAGGTCAAAATCTACACAGCACGGGACAACTGGATCCTACAGTTCCCATAATGCAACTCAATAACATCTCTATTCACAGATGTTGAACACCCACGCCTTTCTCACCACCACTGCTCTCACAGACTGAGTGGTACTCCCCAGGACGATCAGTCTTACTGTGTAAAATCAGTAATGCACCCTTTCAAATCCTCTCTGTTCAAACTTTAGTTTAGGAAAAGTTTGTTTGCTTAGGTAGGAAATTTAAAATGTGCTGCTTCACTTTTATGTTGTGTTTTCAGATTAAATGTTGTTAATAGTATTTTCATGCGGAGTCAGAGTTCAAACATGTTATAGAAGAGTTATTTTTATTAAATATCATATTTACGCTTCTCATTAGGGACAGGAGGAAGATGCAAATCAGCAATATTGGTTTTTGGGAGTCCTGGAGGCGGAGCCAGAGCATCAACAGGAAGAGGTTTTGGGCACAGATGAGAGGAGCTCTATTAGGCCTGTTGCCATGGCAGCGCACTCTCCACGCCATCGAAGGTACATTATATGGATTATTGATTTCCAGTATGTTGTGTTGCCATGAATAGATGATTTGACACACAACACATGTTGTTATACAATGAAAATCTCAACCCTCACTGATCTGTTCCAGGCCGGTTTGGAGTTGGCGTGAAGGCTTACTTTGTTTTCCTCAGATATCTGATTTACTTAAACCTGCTCCACTGTGCTTTCATTGGCGGTTTCATTCTGGGGCCCACAGCATTTTATGGCAGGTGCAACAGCAGTGGTGAGTCAGCTGTAATGACAGACGACAGTAAATGAACCACCACTCAAAGTAGACTCCTGTACAAACACTGTTGTGTTGTTCTGTGATTTTACAGAACCTTTGAAGTTTGGAGGCAATGACTCCGTTTTGGATTTCTTCCTGGGATCGGTAAGGGTTTGTTTGCTTGTGTGTGTGTGTGTGTGTGTGTGTGTGTGTGTGTGTGTGTGTGTGTTTTTTATGTATTTGTTTTTAATGTCTCTTCTCCTTTCTGCAGGGCTACCTGGATCGTTCTCCAGTCTTCTTTGGTTTCTATACACGTGGTTCTCTAAATTTACTGTGCTTGAATACACCTCTGCTATACCTGGCTGGAATCCTCACCATCCTCTTCCTCAGTCTCATCATGGTGGTCCGCAGGTCAGTTGGGATACAAGTGCAGAAGAACATAAAGTTTCAATAGCCATTTTCCCTCATATTAAATCTGCTCATCTGTAAATGTCTCTGATAGAACGATAGTTGGCTACAAGCACACCTGGATGCTCGGGAAGCGTTACAGTATGAATGTGAGCTATAAGATCTTTTGTGGTTGGGACTTCACCATCCAGGACCCTGCTTCTGCTACTCTCAAATGCAGCTTCATCAGAAACGACCTCAAGGTGAATGGACGCACACATAGTACCAGCATGCATGACCCAAGGTCAAAGTCTATAGTTCACATCCAAATGCCCTGTAAGGAAGCAATCTGCAATGTTATGTTTCTCCACTCATCTAGTCAATGCGTTTCTTTAATCTTTCACCTGTGTGTTAATTCTTATATTTAGAAACAAACCTGAAATTCTGCAGGTCTGCAGCTTTATTTACAACTGATAATAAATGGTATCCATCTGCCACCTTGGATGGTTGAAACTTTTTCCAAAACATATATATTCACACACACATACACTCTCATTCTGCATGTCCGCCTATACAGACACGACACAGTAACTGTCACAGTGAGGCAGATGAGGAAATTTTGTGTTCCAGGATGACTGGTTTCAGTTTTATAAATCAGTGGTTGAAAGTTGTTTTGTGTTTCTCACCCTTTTGTAAAACCAGCTCAAAAGTGAAACATAAATGCGAAACTCACTGTAAAAAGATATAAATGTACTGTTTTCTCTGGGCTTCTGCCTTAAGAGATAACCTCTCCAATGCATGTCCTAATACTTTTTATTTTGAGTTTTATGATTGTGTGAAAATGCCTGACTAAAGGAAGGTTTGATTCTTGTCTATGTCTGTGTGTATACTGCTATTCTAATGTTTGACACAGCAGAAAGATTATCCTGTATTTCTTTCCTATTTGCCCTCAGCTGTTCCTGGAGGAGCAGAGTTTCTCCCTGCGCAAGGCTCAGAGGACACTTGGACAGAAGGCGCGCCTCTACCTGCTCAGGTTTGTCCTCAACCTGCTCGTTCTGTCTCTGCTGGGCGGAGCCTTCTACCTTATCTGCTTTGCCACGGAATGGTCACAGTCTGAGGTAATGTATGAGACTTGATCATCTGCTTTTGTTACATCTGTCCTGGATTTGGTGAATAGATTTCATATGTGACACCCTGGACTGTGTTTCTTAGAGTGGGCACCACTGGTTGGTCAGTCTGGTCCTCCAGTACCTCCCTCCCATCACCATCACTTTTGTCAACCTGGTGCTCCCTCACATCTTCCGTAAGATTTCATCTTTTGAAGACTACTCTTTCACAACGCAGGTCAATGTCACTCTTGTGAGGTAAGGGGAAATAAACACAGGATAACATATTGTACCTGCGTACACATGGATGGATTCACTCATTCAGAGTCTTTTCTTCAGGAGCATCTTCTTGAAGCTGGCCTCACTGGGGATCTACTTATTCTTCTTCTTCATCACAATAGCAGAACATCAGCAAGTGAGTTAAGAGTGAGGGTTATGACTCAAAGTCCCACAGACTGAGCTTTAATCAAGTGCCAAGTAATGTTGCAGAGTGTTTTTTTTAACCCCCCTTATCATTTGTGTGCATCTCCTTTTCAGTGCAGGGAGAACAAGATTGGTAGAGAGATGTACAAGCTGTGCATCTTCAACTTTCTCGCCACTTTCTGCAATGCCTTTCTCTTGAACTACCCAAGGAAGTGGGTTTGCTTAAGAATATTTTCTTTCTGTATTAGTCATTGTGGTGTTAACTGGAAACCGTTACCGTAATGTAGAGAAAGACCTCAGTTGTACAATATAAGTTTATACTACTTTCTGTGCAAACTATCTTTCCTCTGTCTGACAGGTTAGTGCAGGAGAAATACCCCTCATCCTTGCTGGCCCGGTTGTCAGGGAAACAGCGCTTTCTGATCCCATTCAACGTCTTGGACCTGGTGTACAGTCAGACAGTGTCCTGGGTGGGAGTCTTCTACTGCCCTCTGCTGCCTCTGATAGGAACTGTCACACTGATGGCCATGTTCTACATCAAAAAGGTTCCTGAAACATGAGATGAATAAACTCAAGTGTAGTAATACCACTTACTTTAAGTTATATTAACAAATAAAACATTTTTTAAGGAAAATTTGGAGAAATTTACTTACTTACTACTCTACTTAGAAGAGAAAATTGGTACCACTCACATGTCTCTACAGTAAATATGAAGCTTCAGCAGCAGCCAGTTAGCTTAACGTAAAGAGTGGAAACAGGGAAATATATAAATATATTTATATGTCCCTCTGCAAGTAATAGTCTGGAACACCCACTTTGTTTTTGTATGGATTAAGCAAACAAGAAATAATATGTTAATTAGTGAATTCTAGAGTTGCTAGTAAGTGGATTTTGTTATCGTTGGACAGAGCCAAGCTAGCTACCCCCCCGTTTACAGTCTTTACACTATGCTAAGCTAACTGTCGTACTGACACTGGTGTGGTACCCATCTTCTCTTGTAATGGAGGGAAAGCAATTAAGCAAGTTTCCAAAATGTCTAACTAAATAATCGACGCTGATTTATTCACATTCTTCACAAATTAACTTTCATCTCTCTTCATGTCAGTCTTGAAATGTTTGCAAGTTAAATAGCATCAAAGTATAATTTTCTGTCTCTCTTTGCGACCGTGTCTGACCCTGTCTATGGTACATGGTTCTGCCGTGATCCCCAAAAAGCACCAGTGGTCATCAACAGTATTTGAACATTTTCCAACAGTGTCCATGTCTCTCTCACTCTCTCACTCTCTCTGTCTGTCTGTCTGTCTTCAGTTCACGGTCCTGCGGTGCTGCGTGGCAGAGCAGAGGATGTTTCGAGCCTCCAGCTCCTCCGTTTTATTCCACTTCATGTTGCTGCTGGGTCTCCTGATGGCTTCAGTCACAATTGGCTTCAACTTGTACCAGCAAGAAGTCACACAGAACATAACGTATTCCTTTTTACTGTTTTAATGTTTACTGTCATTTTGTACTTACTTACAGAGAACATACTTGTGTAACAGTGTTATTTGTTTCTTTAGTTGTTAAATTATTAAAGTAAATATATTTGCCCTTTTAGCACCAGAAAGAAATATCCATTTATAGTTTGAATATTTTCTCTGTTGCTGCTCATTTTTCCCATTTGTTCCTCCTGGTTCTCTAGGTCCTCCTGTGGTCCATTTGGAAATGGAGAAACTGTGTTTAATGTGATGGGTGTGTGTGTGGACAGTCTCCCGAGCTTGGCACAGTCCACTCTCCGCTATCTGGCCTCTGAAGCCTTCGCCCTGCCACTCATATTAGCTGAGGTGTAAGTATGCAGAAAGACAAGAGAGTCTATGCAAACACTGGCTCTGTATTTCCAGTGCGATGAGTTTTTCCATGTTGAAGGAAAACGAATATAATCCACTTTAAGACTACAGCTGCATACACACATGTAAAAGTAATGCTCGTCACTTTCATCTGATCTGCTGGTCTTTGAATGTGACATGAAATACATTCTGTTTCTTCAGAATAATCTTAACCTCATATGTGTCACGAGGACGAGCCAATCAGAAGGCCATTGAGAGACTGAAAGACATGCTGGTTATGGTAGGTCACATGTCATCAAACAAGTTACATACTTAGGATAAGATAAGGAAATATTTGAGTTACACCCAGTTAATTTGGTTGTTGGAAGTGAATCATTCAGATATGTTATAGTGTGATATGCTTTTCTACTGTATCTGTGTGCATGTTGTGTCAACACATTTGTATGTGTTTCCCTCACAGAGCAGCTCAGATAAGCGTTTCCTGGTGAAACAACATGCCACGATGCTGAGACGGAAAAAAACACTCACAGACAGAGTCCGTTCTGCACCCAGCGAAGAGGACGCAAACCTCAAACCCCCCTCCACCCAAAGTCACCCATCTGTCAGACCTGTCCATTCACAGACTTCTGCGTAAAGATAAAGCCTGGCCTGGGGGGTGGCTGAAAAAAAGAAAATACTGATAAACTCTCACTTTTCCAGTTACATGATGTACAAAGATGAAAAATGTAGTTGTGACATTTTTCCCTCAACGGTCTTAATTTTACCTTCATATGATGCATTTTCTTAATCTTAGTCTTATTATTATTTTGAAAATATTTTATATTGATATTTTCAGGATCTTGTGAATTTGTTTACTTGTATTCAGTTAACTGTGAATGTTTGCATGCATCCTGCTTATTAAACTTTTGTGGTTTGTGCATTTTTCAAAGCTTTATTTGTATTCATCATTGCGCGGATCTTTAAAATTAAACCAAACATGATGTCTAATATGTTATCTACTTGCAACACATGTGTGACAGCCCTAGTATTTACGCACACACAAGCACACACACTGAACCGGGCTAACAAAACCATGTCAAAGATAAATAGAGAGCACAGTTATGAGGAATCTACAGACTCTAAATGCGTTGCCAATTTTGGGTGAGTTTGTTGAATTTGATTTAAAGTGGTGACATAAATAAATAAATAACTGAATTGACTAATATTGTTACTGAAATGTGTTGCTCATTTCTTTTTCAGCTCTGGCAAGTTTGTTCATCAAGATAAGTAAGTTTCATAAAGTGGTGCTTAAGATATGGAGCACAGTTTGCTGAGAGATCTTTTGTTTGTCCTCGCTGGTTCAGAACTGTTCAGATATTTCCTGCATTATATAGTAGGAGGTGAAGACTACTGTTAATTCAGGAGCTTGTGTGCTTTGATCTCATAACATTTATTCAAATGAAATAAAATAATGTGTGTCTGCATCTGCTCATACTCTCTTTAAAACTTGAAAAAAAGGCACGTTTCAGGATTCCTGAAACTCCAATTGTTTCTTTCTTCAGGTGGATCGCTCTCTCTTCGCCCTGTGCTGACTGGTCCTGACATGGCCTACCTCGGTTCAAGGGTGGTTTTCCGGTGTATTGCACCGGACTCGTCTCCGCCAATCACTTACGAGCTGATGGGGGACAGTGGTGACCTCATCTTCACAGACACTGATATCCAAGGGGACCAATCTGTACCCTTTTACCTGAAGGTCACTGCAACATCAGAGGGGTCGTACCACTGCAAGGCAACAGCAGGAGGAAGCACAGGAGTCAGCAACAGCATCAAGCTGAGTGTAGTCAGTGAGTAAAAGACACAAACAGACATAGAATACATTCTTCTGATTAGATCTTTAACATCCTGGTTACTTTACTGGAGAAAATTATTCTCTAACTTCACCTCCTCTTCTCCTCTCAAACCATCCATTCTTCCCTAACTTCTAGCTCCAGCATTAAACACCAGAGTGACTTCTGAACCCTTCCCCCCCGTCGCATACGAGGGGTCACACATTGTACTGAGCTGCAACGTCACAAGGGGCTCCCACCTTTCCTACACCTGGTTTTTCAACAGGAAGGAAATAACATCTCCAACCTCTCCCTTCTTCCACCTCACTGGGAATAAGGTTGTGATGGAGGAGGTGACTCCAGAGCATGCTGGGTACTATTATTGCATGGCCTGGTCCAGTGTGCAGGACATCAGGAGGTTTTCTAGCAGCGCAGAGGTCCAGGTGACAGTCAAAGGTATGTGTCAACAAAAAAATGTAACTAAGTATATTGAAGATCTACCAGAATGTGGAGGTACTAAATAACTCATGGTTGTTTTTAACCACGCTAGCAGTGATGGCAAGATTGTTTTTTCCACCATTTTGGGTTATACTAACAACTGATGGGTGGGCATGAAATGTTGCACAGACATTCACAAGGAGGATTATTCCTATTGACTTGGGCAACCCTCTGACTTTAAGCACCACCATGAGGTTGATTTTTTTGGTTTTGATGCCTCAACAACTATTAGTTGCCACCAAATTCACCAAAGTCTACGTAGAAGAAATTAAAGGGTTTCATCAGGCAACAACAAATGGCTGATTTCTTTTACCGAATGTACCCAGTTGACCCTTTAGACCCAAGACTGATATAACAAACCTTTTTGAAATACACCATATAGTCCCATACAGTCCCATTAGGCACTGATGTTAGGCAATAATGTCTGTGTCTTAGTCTGCGTTTCAGTTAATCCCACAAGTGTTAGAGCGGTTGAGGTCAGGGATCTGGGTAGACCACACACCACACACCAAATTGGGAAAACCATTTATTTATGGACCTGGCTTTGAGCTCGGGGGTTATTGTCATGTTGAAACAGGAAAAGGCCATTGTTGCTGCAAAGATGGAAACTGACTTAAAAGCACACAATCATTGTCCATATACTTTTGGCCATACAGTCCTGATTAAAGTCCATCCCCGTCCCCGTCTTCTCCCCTCTTCGTTCCTCCACCAGCCTACGTTTCAAAACCAAGGGTTTCTTACTCCATCTCCAAAGAGGGAGCCAGTTACCATGGCAACGTGACCTGCTGGTCAACAAGAGGGAGTCCTCCTGTCAACATCTCTCTTTTACTAGATGATAAGGAAATGAGATCTGTTACAGCAAGTGAATCCGTTGCTGCCTGGTTCCCTGTCGACATTGTACCGGGGCTGGACATGGGCGTGGCTCGATGTAAGATCAATACTGAAGTGCAAGAGTTGATCAGTGAGCCTGTGACTCTGGAAGTGGGTATGAGCTACACAGACATGGGAAGGAATTGTGTCTTTCTGTGATTGCGATGTCTCTCTTTGATAATCTATCTCTCATTCTCTCTCTGTTCTTCATCCAGTCCCAGTCGGAGGGGAGGTGAAAGTGGAGGTTGAATATCTCTTCAGAGCTGACTCCAGACTGGTTGCAGCCAGGCTGAACTGTCAGATCAGCAGAGGAACTTTCCCTTTTGTGTCCTGGCTCTTGAACGACTCTGTCCTTGAGGACTCCCGTATTCAGCCTCTCCTGTCTCACTACACCCTAGCTGACCATAGACGAACCCTCTTCCTGGCCACGCTCCACCCAGAGGAGTTTGGGTATTACCGCTGCAGGGTCAGGGACAGCTATGATGACTCTGGGCCCTGGGTGGAGAGCGCTGCTGAGCTGGTCCGAGTCCCAGGTGAAAAAATCATGACCGGGTGTTGTAATCTTAAAGTAAAAGTCTCACACTTTGGGAAATGTGCTTATTCTTTTGCTTACTGAGAGTAAGATGAGGAGGAAACAGCTGGACTGGCTCTGTCTAAAACAAAATCTGCCTACTAAAGCAACATTATGCAACTATTTCAGCCTTAAAATGACAGCTTCAAAATACAAAACAGAGTCAGCTTAACGTTTCACGTGTGCCTTTTCATAGATGTCTTCTCTGTGTGGGGTCTTTGTGCTCTTTACCACAACACACTTTTTACTCTTGATCAGAGAGGCTCCTTAACTCCATGGCCCGAGCAACATCTTCCACTGAAACACCACCAAGTAAACAGCACATATCGTATATATATAAATGCCTTACATGCTGCTTCAACAGTATGTAATACTTCACTGGCCTTGTCCCTTCTCTTCCACAGAGGTTTTCATTGCCACCATAGAGGTCATTACCATAGCGTTCTGCTGCTTCCTTTTTCTGATGCTTGCAGTGGGTGTAGGTTGTGTTTACAAGATGTTTGACCACAAGCAAGGTGGGTGTGTGTTACTGTGTGTATGAGGATTTATACAGAATTCAAATTCAGAAATCTGCAACTGAATTTATATTAAATGCTTTTCACCTCTCATGTCTTTCACAGCCCGCGCCCACATTACTACAACAAAGTATGTACGGACCTCAGAAAGTTACATTGTTCAGTAACGCAGATCAAGCTGTTCAACTATATTTGTGCTTTCCAGTCCCAGTTCCGATGCACGTCCTATGTCTGCACCCACGTCCCAGTCAGGAGCCAAACAGGCCGATACTTCCTCAGTAGACTGTGATGATCTGTATCAGGTATACAGGCCTGCAGAACATATAACAACACTGCACATAAACACTACCCTTAGTTACTAGTTATAGAGTAAATAGTAAATTCCTTTCCATTTAAACCAAAATAAATATAAATTTATTATGAATTGATTATTGGAAACTTTATTTTTCATATATATATGTAATTGTATTCTTGCTTGTAGAAGAAAAATCATATTTTTGCATTTTCACTATATAAAATAATAAATACATTTTGGCTTTTATTGGAGCAGTTGTGGAGCAGAAATTGTGAACCAGGTATAAAGAAGACAACATCATGACTGTATATTTCTCTGTTTCAGACCGCAGAGATCACAATATGACACAGGAGGAACCTGCACTCATCATGTCATTATTCCATTTTAAACCTAGTTTTTGTTAATCTGCGAGGATGGAAATTAGGACTTTAACTAAACTGCCAAGTCGCTTATAAGAAATTGGTGGAACATTCAATTAAAACATATTATATTTCAGCCAAACTAATATATACTGTCGTGTTTTTTGCATATAAAAATCCTGATATTAAATTATGTTTTGTTGTTTTTTCAAATAAACCAATGAAAAAGTTTTGCTTGATTCAATGTGTCTGACTTTATGTTGTTTTGATATTCACATTTCTCCAAATAGAACACCCTGACAGTTGTGGCATGAGTGAAATAATTAATCTTGTGATATTACCAAGAGGGGCGGGTACGACAGGGAGGTATAGAGTAACATTATCAGCTATTTGCACATGTTTTTAAGTGCGTGTGGGTGTTTTCACCCGCAGTGCTTCATGCCCACAATTCACAACTGTCAAAACTCCTAAAGCATAACACATCATAGTGTAATTATATACAAAGTATACAGTTGTATTAAAGGGAACAAGTTTTCTTGAAGAATGTTTGCTTTCCTCTTTGTGGTCATACTGGGTAAGCTAATCAGCACAAATTGTGCAGCAGTACACGTTGTATTTCCCAATTTAAAACTCTTGGAAACTATTGATTTCTTTTTCCTCTACAGGGCTGTGCTACTTTAGCCAGGACAGCAGTAAGTCGGTTGTATTGTTTAAGTGTGTGTTCAAATTAATAATCTTTGTAACTCATGATTCTTTGTGTTGAGTGTTTGTGTTTGTGCAGTTTTGTTGTATTTAATTTGTTGATAGGTCAGTTATTTCTGGGTCATCCACGACTGTCTGGCCCTTCAGAGGCTTTGGTGAAAGCTGTTGTAGATTTTCATTGTGAATTGAAGAATCACTCACAGAATGAATCTATCCTGCTGGAGCTATTCAAGTGAGTATTAGTTCACATTAAATCTAACCGCTGCATTAAGATGTAACAGTAATGATAGAAAAGCACTCTAATTATCCCTATGTTCTAGGGAGGGTAACCGTGACAAGGTGTTGGGCTATTACACCTCCCTGGATGAGGAGGTTGCAGTCTTTCCCATGGTAATCAAACTTTACCACGAGGGCAACCTGGAGTGTGAGGCCAAAGTGCAGAACAACTCCAACATAAAGCCCACTGTCAGCAACATACACTACCTGAAGGTTGTTGGTGAGTCTCTTTATTACCAGGACTATATCATATGATATATCATATGTACATGTCTTTCCTGTAACAGCAACAGATAATATATATATAAGTAAGATTACAAGAAGCTCAAACACAATGAGAAACACATTTCTCAAAGGGTATGTTATTGTGAAGTGTAAGGTGTGCATCTTAAATGGTCACTGGCTTGTGACAGTGTAACAAATCTTTTGCCTGATTATATTTTCTGTGTTACATTTATGATTGTCTCACTGCTTTTTTGCTGCCTTCTTAGCCAAATCTCTCTTGAAAAACAGATTTCAATCCCAATAAGATCTGGTAAAATAAAGGAAGGAGCAGATGAAAGGTTTTTCCAAAATATTTCATTTGGATTGTGGAACTTTAACACCAGGAATTCAGAACATTTTAGCCTTTTTAGTACGAATGACAAAGCATAGCCTACATTGCAGAAGGACTGCAAAGAATACTCTGATAAAACGATAATATGCCAGCCTGCTGTTTGCTAAACATTATAGTGCAGCAACAAATAATGTAAAGTCCAACTTGAATAGTGATATTTTTTACTTATACAAGTAAACAAAATACTACTACTACTAATAATAATAATAATCAGAAAACCAAGCTGTAAAATAGAGTCTAACACCATTACAAGGTGTCCTGGTAAGTAAACTAGACTAGTTATGGATGTTGTTAAGTTAATAGACATGATCATCTGTAAAAGTAGAGAAATACGTCTGTAAGGACTGAGGAATACAATAGACTATAAAAATGTCAAGAATTTTTCTTGCTTTTTAATTTCAGGAGCTCAAATTTATAAATGACCTGAATCTTTTCTTCCCTAACAAGAAGATTTCACTCTGTAATTCAGAACCAGTGAAAGGTGCACAGATTGTCGTCCGTTCAGAACAAGAGGAGTTCTTTGAGGGGGAGACACTGAAGCTGCAATGTACACTCGCCGCTGGAAATCATGTATCCTACAAGTGGCTGCTGAATGGTCAGCTTGTCTCTCAGTCTTCTTCCCACAATGACCAACTCTTGATCAACAGGTCAGTGGAATGAATCCCATTGAGGTTGTATTTGGACACCTGCCACATTACTACATTGAATCAACTGTATTAGTGTTAATATCTCTGCAGCTCTTTTCATCCAGCGGGGGTTATTGTTGGTGTCAGAAACATAAAGACTGGACATGAGGAAATATATAGCTACTAGTACCCGTAAAGTTCAACAGAAATCTAACTCTAAGAAGAAATTGATTATCTGTGTCCCCTCAGAACTACTTCTAAAGACAGCGGCTCCTATATGTGTGTCGCCTCCAACAACTTTAACCAAACAGTCTTCACCGCCAACAGCACTGAAGTTGTGATCACAGTCAAAGGTTAGCTGTCCTCTGTTATGAGTAGACTCTCAGGTTCAAATTTTATAGATATGGTTTCTTTGCACAAAATAAAATTCTCTTTCATCATATTCCCTCAGACGTAGTGTCAAACGCTGACATCTCCTTCACCGTGTTAAAGGAGGATGAACAAAACTATTTTGCCATGGTCACCTGCCAGTCAACAAAAGGGACTCCGCCTATTACCTTCTCACTTTACAACAGGACAGAATTAGTCACCAGTACGACATCTGAAGAGAGAGACACCATATTTAAGGTCCCACTGCTCCTGGGCCAGCACTTGGGAAGGCTCCAGTGCCAGGCGAACAATACAGACAAGATCGCATACAGTCAGTGGATTCCTCTTGAAGTTGGTATGTACACTGCTCCAACCTGCAGACATATCACTGGTACACAATAGTTTTTAAATATTTGATCTGTAATGTCTCCAACAGTCCTGGTTGGTGGGCCTGTGATGATGCATTACGACTATGACGTTGGAGAAAACTATGCCGTGATCAGCCTGAGGTTCTACTGCAAGGCGGCAAAGGGATCTCTTCCACTGTACAAGTGGTTCCACAACAAAACCCTTCTAGGTGACCAAGGAAGCTTCTACCGTGTAGTCAACCAGCCTCCAGAGCAGTCCATACTGCTGCTGTCTGTAGGGAGGAGCAGTGCTGGGACGTACCACTGTGAAGTGTCAGACAGCTTTGATAGCACCAACACCATTAAGAGCAAGAGGCGGTATCTGGATAAAGAAGGTACAGTTGATCCACTCCTGTTGATTCCAGTAAAACATCCTTCTGACAGCTGGTTTCATCTCCTCTTCGTCTTCCTGCTCCTCCAGTGCTGAATCGTTTGCCTGTCTGGGTGGTGGCTGTGGTCTTTGGATGTTTCACATTCCTCGTTCTCTTGGTCTCCGCTTGTTGTTGGATTGGAGTCGTATTTAGTAAGTTCACAATAGACCTTTTTCACAGCAGCCATTTTAAAATGAAATAGTAGGGTAAACACAGTGGTTACCATGGACACTAACTACGGTTCAGTTCCATTCGGGTCAAACAGAGTCAGGGTGCGGCTGTTGTGCATGTCGGCTCACTGGAAAGGCTCTGATACACTAAATGGAACTAAGCTTTAATTAGCGTCATTGCTAACACCTGTGTTTACCCTACTATTTCATGTCAAAATGGCTGCTGTGAGAAAGGGCTGTTTTTATCTGGTGGGGCTGCCTCTCCATTGCTACTGTGAATGAATGTTTTCACTCTTCTTTCAGGGCGAAGGCAGTTTGGAGAGAAGTCTCTGTGAGTTATTTCTCTGTTTAATTCTGATACCTTGAAAAATGAATGATGACCACATTTCCCACAAAGCCATTACTTCCTCTTTTAAAAAGAAATGTGCCACTTGATCCTTGGTCAGTTTTTCTTTTTTTGTTTGACTTACGGGAAGAACTACAGGTTGGCAGTTCATCTGCAGTTGCTAAAGAAGAAACAATGGCAGATGCTAGGTGAAAATGCACACTGGTCTTCTTCCTGTTTCCATGTTGTGTGCCAATACAGCAGCTTTCAAGCAAAGATCCAAAACAACAACAAATAATGTAAAATATATGGCTTACATAGAAATTATGTTAAAATGCATTGCACCTTTCATCAGGAACGATACCTAATCTTTGTTTCAGCTCCAAACAACGGTTTTGTCCTGGAGATGTTCTGGGGGGGGTTGTATGTGATAGCTGTATTAGACCTAAGGTCTGCAGGTCACATATCTTTAACCTCTATTGGTCACCAAGGAATTGAAACCATGACTGGTCTCTGACGCAGCTTACAATCACAGTTTCGCAATAAAGATGATGAAAGACAGCAGATGTCCAAGTGCTTGAGTTTCAAATGTCCTGCAGTGCTTGTTGTTCCCTCATAGCACTGTCCTCTAAGTCAGCCGTAAAAAGGACATGTATTACAACATTTATACAAATAATCTGCTTGGAACGACAATGTGAGTCCCACAAAAAAAGTATAAATTTTACATTAAAATCCTCAAAAAAAACATGCTTACAACTACACCATTAAAAAATGTTTCCAGCATATCTGACACCAGTATTTCTTCTCCTCTCAGGTTGGGCTTTGAGATGGAGAGAATAGTAGCTGCGAATGAGGTCGAGTTGGTAAGTCAATATTTCTGTATCTCCATCATTCAAAGGCTGAGCAGTTTACATGATCGCACACTGTGTTATCTCAACCATGACACAGAGCTCCTCAAGTATCTTTCCTCACAGGATTTGTCAGACTACACTGAGGATGCTGATGTGGGGCAGACAGTCACAGATGGAGACTTTGATCAGGTGAGATCAAACTCTTACACACACTGTCAATGGATCAAACAACCAACCACTGAAAGAAGCAAGCAGCCAAACTCTTGTGCACATGTGTCTGTTCTCTCCTCAGGTATCTCAGTCCTCTGTGGATGAATGGCCCCAAATTGAGGAAGAGAAGAAGACGTTGGAAGATGAACCAGTTGAGGAGGCCTGAGGGTTCAAACTGTTTGCTCTGTAAACACAGACTGTTGTGGTTAAATAAACATATACTCAAGGTGCTCTGTGCTGTCTTTTCGGTGTGACTAATGAGAATATCTATCTGTAAAGTAAACGTGGTGGAGATCAGGAAGAGTCGCACTGTGTCGTCTTTCCCCGGCTCCTAACTCCGCCCCTCTGATGCGCAGCCGCCTGCGCAGCGCCTGTGGGTGGCTCTCCGCTTTGGCAAGGGAAGCAGCAGCACAGCGGGGGCTGGCAGTAGTTAGGTTTAGTTAAGACGAAGCTGGTACACTGTCCTCCTGTCAGGTCGGTTCAGAACCACACAGTTGAGCTCCAGAGGAATCGGCTGAACCGGAGAGACATGGAGGAGACGGGCGGTGCAAGTGCGTACGGGGCGAAGCTCGCAGGAGGTGGCTTCGACTTCAACAAGTTTATCCGACAACCGCAAACTATCGTGCGCCTGCTCAGCTGGGTGAGTGGAGAGAGTGTGGATGTAAGAGTTTATTGCTTAACAATGTTCAAAGGTTGAGAAGAGGCAGAAAGTTCATCCAACGTGGCCTGTGAGCAGGTGCGTCTGGCCCGGTGCCCGCAGAGCGCCTGTGTGGGGCGGTTAAAGGATATATTTGTGTTGGCCTGAACAACAGGCTACTATCTGCTGCGTCTCTGCGAGGCTCATGTTGCATGCAGCTGGTGTATGACAGCAACTCGGCGACAGCACAGGTCAACACTGCTGTTGTCAGAGGACAAAAGACAGAAAACTGTCAGACACACTGAGACGTCCACTAATGAAAACACCAACTAAATATAGGAAGTGTGAGTGCAGTTCACCAAAGGAAGACTACATTCATGTAACTTCTAAAGGCAGACTATAAGAAATCCTTCCACAGCGTTTTAAAGTGGACAAAAGACAATAATATTCATTAACACACACAAAGGCTGTCTGTGTAGAGGGAATTCATGCACCAGGGAAAGTTCTGGGAAGTTGTTGTACACTGCTGATCACCTGTTGCTAGGCAAATCATATGGCATAGATTTGTTTTTGTGGTTAGGACACTGATCTGGAAAGTGTAAAATGAATCTTAACCAGACAGGTTACACAATAAGACGTTGTTGTCTAACCCTGGGTGATTGTGAGCTCACAGACTGAAGTGTTGAACTGGTTTATCTGTCCTCGTCCATCTCCTCTGTGATATGAGACAGTAAGGATACTCATTGAAAGCAATGTGAGGGAGTTTTATGGCACATGGCTGCTTTCACGTCCTGGATTACAGAGACTATAAATGATTATTTCCTTGGTTTGTGAAGCGTGAATGATTTGTTATGCCTCTAGCTCATGTCCATGAAGGGTGAGTGTGGACCGTTAAGAGAACACGCCTGTTGAGTGCGTCCGAGGAGGACTGAGGACAGAATGTGCCTTTGGTTGCCTCAACTGCTGACTGCCTGCATGCATGTGCTTTTGAAACTGTGTGTGAGAGAGATTATGTGTGTGTCACTTGTAAACAGGGGCTGATTGGCAGGTAAGGTGATACCTCTCCCCTGGTGACCCTCTCTTTTACTCTTGGTGAAAGTGTGCCACTGATCTCCCTCTCTAACACACATACTTAGTGCAGCTGTGCTCAACTCATCTCAGAGTCACACTGGTTAGATCGCCATGTATCTCTGGTGGATTTTATCCGTATGTCAGCGAGCCAGCACCTATGGCTCTAGAGGAGGATTGTTCGCTCTGCCTACAGGTCCCATAATGCACCTGCTTCTTGAGTGAGGAAAAGGCTGCATACAGTAGCTTTAGGTCATTTTAGGTGCTGAATCACATCACTATACCTTCTATGACAGCCAGTATTATATATTTAATTATATTCTTTAGCGACCCTGCTGTCCTGACTAAATACTGCATTGAAACAGTATACTTCCAGTATATTCATGCTAAATAATGAACAAGGAGCCATGAAGAAAACACACTGTATGCACATATGGTACATTTGGGAACATACACTTTCCATCTGTCCATTTATGTATAAAAACATCCATCTGCTCCACTAACGGTACCTCTGTCTCACTTTAGTCTTGTGTTTTGGAAATCCCCATTTTCACTTCCCTGATATCTCTGTCTTCTGTACTTTTTGGTACTTTTTGTCTCATCCATTCTGGCCTATTTCTCTCTCTCTCTGTCTCTCTGACCTCTCACCTCATCTTGCTTCCCACCCGTTAAACAGTCCCTCTCTATCCTCCTCTCAGATCTCATTATGAGCGTTGTTAGGGAGTCGGTGGCATCTCTGGAGTCACATGGCAGGCAGCTGCACTCAGAAGTAGGTCACATGGTTAGGTGGGTAACCAGAGCAGACAGCAACAGACCACGGGACGGTCAGAGGGACCAGGCAGTTAGCACTCTTCTTCACTTTATTAAAAACACAAGACGAGCACAAGAGCTGTGCAGGGTCAGCAAAAAGAAAATAAACTGTTTATGATGACACACATACACATAATAATGTCGCTATGTTTCATGTTATACTCATGTGTTGGCCAATTTGTTGGAGTAGAAATAGATACAAGTTCTTGTGACTTTCTTGAAATGTATGTTAAAATAAATCTTCTTACTCTTTTTATTCAGTAATCTCTAATGCGAAGGCTGCTTTCAGTAGATACAAGCTTAAAGCTTGAGGACGACTCATTTTGTCACATAGTGATTCATTATGTTCTGTGGTTGATTTTGTTACAGCTGTGCTCTCTGGAAACATATCATATGTACAATGTTCTTTAAATGCACCATTAGCAAGTATTAACTCTCATAAACTGAAACCACTGCCTGAGAAGTAGTCAGTCTCACAATGTGAAGCAGTTATGTAAAGTATTCAGTGTGTAGTTAACGGGTAAGCTTTAAAAGCCAGCAGTATGTCCCCTTTTAGCGAGACACTTTCTTCTTTTGTCTTTGCAAACCTTCTTCTTTTCTCTGTCTCAATGTAGATATTTGCCATGGTGGTGTTTGCCTGCATCACGACAGAGGGATACATCAACTCTGCCCACAGTGCCGAAGCAAAGTGCATCTTCAACCAGAATGACTCAGCATGTCAGTACGCTGTTGGTATTGGGGTGATTGCCTTCTTGGCATGTGTGGGCTTCCTGGTGTTGGATGTTTACGTGCCTTTCATGAGCAACGCACAGGAAAGGAAGTATGCTGTCATGGCAGACCTGGGATTCTCAGGTGAGCAGGAGCGTTCTTTTGTTGGAGCTTTAAAGCTGCATTGATCAATATTTTTCTATATTGTCAATGGCTCAAATGACTTTGTGTAAAGTAAAAGGTGTTGCTCATAGTGAAAATTATCACTCTACTCTTTATGGCAACAACTATGGAACAACTTTACTGTGTTGGTTCACCCTCACCGCTCTCATCAACCTCCTCTCCAGCTGCAGCAGGCAGCTGTTTTCAGTTAAAAAGCTCTGAAACCCCCCCATGTACACCACCTGCTCAGCATCACACAGCAGGCAGACACAGTTAGTAACTAGCTGGTGAACATTTCGCAGCTGAAGAGCCAGGTATTTTCCTCAGGATTTTGTGGAAACCAAAAACAGCTAAACTAGAGTAAATATTGGACTTACATGTGTCTGGTGACGGTAAGTAAGTTCAAATAAGCAACTGTATCAACTTTATGGGCTGATGATATGTCAATGTTGTATTTACACCTTGTTCAACTGCTCCGTAGTTGCCAAAAACATATGTTAATGTTGCTTTAAAGTGAACTCAAAAGTTGAATTAGATGTCTACAGTAGGTCAGAAACAGAATAATTGTTGTTGTTGAACAGAATAACTTGAATACAATATATACAATGTATACGTACTTACTGTAGACCACACATTACTCCCATCCAGCAAAGGATCTGATTACTTTAGTATATTAAACACATTTCTTTTGACAGATACTGCGTTAAGATATTAATACAATATGTAAAGACATGCATGTTGATTTATTCCACTGATTAACTGGTGATAATGGTTGTTTGAAGATGATAATCTTTCTCAGCCCTTCCAGTTCAGTTTCAGCTTTCTCATTTGAATGTGATACACAATGATACACAAAGCCTCTGAGTACTGGTGTAAAGTGGGACAAACCGCTGCCTGTTTTCCTGTCATAACATAACATGTATTATTCATTGTTGCACACAGTAGATGATAAGTGAGCAGCAGGGTGGAGGAAGGGACGATGACATCAGAGATTTTGATGAAATTAAACATTAATCAGCTGTTACGACACAGTTCACAGGCAGCTATTCTTCAAGGAAACAAAGAAGTGGTAGTCTGAAAAACAGCCTGTGGTCATTTGAGCAGAGGGCAACAGGAGAGTCCTTTTTATTCTGTTGACGTTGTTTTTATCCTTTTTGTGTTTTTCACAGGAATTTACTTTTCATATCAGGGGTTTGAGTACGTTTGTTATCTTTTCATGCTGTGAAAACAATCATTTATATCTGTGTGTTGTGTTTGTGCATCTGTGTCGCTGTATGTTTTCTAGGGGCGTGGACCTTCCTGTGGTTTGTGTGTTTCTGCCTGTTGGCCAGTCAGTGGGGTAGCACTCATGACATCAGAGGTGTCCCCATGGACGCTGGACGCGCCACCGTGGCCTTCTCATTCTTCTCTATCGCCACCTGGGTGAGTGGGACTGTTGTTGTCTACTTTCATTAAAAAACAGCTCCGATTTAGCTCCTTTCTTTGCCACTGAGCTCTAGTTTGAGTAAGAAGGTTAATAATTGTTGGTCAGACAAATGTCAACTAGGTTACTGATTATTGTTTGTTTTTTGCTGGTAAATTTGAAGAATCCTGATATTGTAGCTTTTCTGTATATTTCTTATATCAAAGCAACAGGTTGACATTTCGGGAAATATGCGTATTTGCTTTCTTGCCAAGAGTAAGATGAGAAGATTGAGACGTTCTTGTGTTTGAGAGTGTTATTGTGGTGGTGGTCAAAAAATGTCAAACGATTCCTTTAAAACAGCCACTGGCTTCAGCTCATTCCACTATGGTATGCAAACTTACAAGAGACTTTACATCTCTTTAAGATACTTGAAGTCAAATATGGTTTGTAGTCCACCAGGTTGGTGCATTCAAGTACTGGTAGGACGCTCTGACATTTGACACTTTAGAGTCAGCTGGTGAACAGCAATCATTTTATTACTAGAAACTGATCTCACTCAGACTTTCGATCTTGTATAACTCTTGCATTTATCATGCTTATCAACAGCTGAGCAAACACCCAACATTTGCTTATTGTTTGTCTGTATTCTTTAACTGGCTTTAAAATCTCATGTGTTGGAGCTTCCCACCATCACTTGAATGCACCATTCAGAAGACTTGTTTACAGCCGTGCAAACATCAGTAATGTATCAATAATGTAATATATTGATAGACTAAATGTCATTGTGAGGATGACTTCCCATAAGCAAGCCTAAAAGGTTTATTGTTACACTGGTATGAAATAATCCAGTTAAACTGGTCAAAGTGCTTCATTGAAATTCTGCATAATTAACCATTTTTATTTAATTGTTTAGGGAATCCTGACCTACTTTGCCCTGGGTCGTTTCCGCCGTGGTGTTAATGAAGTTACCATCCCAACCTACGCAGACCCGCCCCTGGATCACCACACCCCCTACCCTCCAACCTATGCCCCTACTTCCTACAACCCCACTACCTACACCCCCACCACTTACACAGCCTATCCCAGCAATATGCCCGACATTCACCAGCAGCCGCCCTTCACCCCAAACCCCCAGCCGCCAGGAGACGCCGGCTACCAACCGCCCAACTACTGAGACAAAGGGAGGTCACACACAAAGGGAGGGAGGTGTTCCAGGTCATCTGTTGGTAGACTGGTTGTAGTTGCACTGCGCAGACCCAGAGCTATATCATATTGATGTAGTTTTACATTTGATTAAACACATTTTTCCAAGTGTTGTCAGATTTGAGAACCTGAGCAGTGCAACTGCAAGTTAGAGATGAGGGACACAGAGGTTTACGTGAAACAGTCTGTGGTCAGATCTTAAGACATCAGGCTGATTGGGTAATCTGACCATAGACCTGTGTGCAAAGACGCAACTTTTACCTCAAATGGGCTGATCCTGAAGGGGCGAGGTAGTTGGAATGTACGGTGTGAGGTCAAGGGTCACATTATGTGACTTTATAAAGAATACCTGTGACAGCTCCAATCAGAGAGGAAGAAGCAAACACTTAATGTGTTCCTCTTTACGCTCTGTTGGAACCTGATATTGTGCATTTGTACATAGATGTCACTATGCAAAGTTGCTATTTCAATGGTTGTATGTGCCGGATTTTCTTTTCTTATTTGCTTTTTTCCCCTTTGGTGCATTTATGTTTAGGACCTATAAACAGTTTGGGATGCATGAAATTAAATGATTTTGTGGGAGTAGAGTTCAGTGGTAGATGACCCTATAAAGCCAAATGTCCCCCTGTGATTTAGTTTTCTGTAAAATGTGGGCTCTGTAGAGATTATGCAGTTAAGTTCATTAGCCATATAACCATAAAATCTCCCTTGAAAGAAGGTTTTGTAATCTTTGTGCTAGAGTAAAATGGCTCCTGTGTCCCCCACCCTCAACTAGTAGTATTTTTAAAACCACTCTAATCAAAAAGTGTTATTGATGGTGACATGAGAAACCATCAAAACCCACAATATCTTTAAATAATTATATAAAATTATAATTACAATTTGAAAATGGGTTTGTGTGCCAATCTGTAGAGGCGTGTTGCTCTTTTAAACCTGTAGCTAACGTTGAGATAGACGAGGGAGGAGCATGTAGATAACGCACGTATTGAACATGTTTATCCTCCGAGCATGTCCTTATACTGAAGGGTAACTTATGAACTACCAACGGCAATGCTTCCTCTTCAGCCTGTCAACACAGCGGCCTCACACTTCCTCCAAGGTCTTGGTGACGTTTAGTTTTCTGAACACTGATTTTTATCTCCTGTTTACAGACTCCTTAATCTGAACTGTTAAAGGCAGACTGCAGTGGGTATGTCTTTACCAATGACAGATTAACACCTCAGCCTGTCTTTAGGAAGACTAGTGGTTTACTTTGTCGCTTTGTGCTTGACAGTAAAACGTTTGTCAGTTTAACACCTCTGCCTTGAGTCACGCTCAAACATATAGCTAATTGTCTCAGTGGTGTGAGCTGACTCTCGTTCTGTTAACCCAGAAATGTAATGTGGTTATATTTATTAAACATCATGCTGGTATGGTACCATATTGGAGATATTTGTGCTAGTGGAAAGTCATTGTTATCATGTTAGTCCTATAGAAAACAAGTGCGTAACTTACTGAAGCCAAAAATGTATGAAAAAACAATGATTTATCTTTTGTGCCTTAGGGAGATAAATGAAACTTTTTAAAGGTTTTTGGGGAAGAAAGTTAATAAAATGTGGCACAATCAAATATTGAAGTTATATCTAGGTTAAACAGCTGTGTATCACAGCTGCCCTCACTGCTGTGCCTGAGTGATTTTTTGCTAAAGTTGATTTTCATGCTATGGAAATTCATTTAAATCTGCTCTTCAGTGAACATTTATATCCAGTGTATACTTCTGATGGTGAAGACTGCAGCCCATAATTACCCTACTTGAATGGTCCCACTGATCTCTAAATTGTGCCTTTAGACTGTGTCCCATTATAGTATTGTAATGTTAACACATGGGTACAGTCTGACATGTAAGCTACGTTTAATGTATGTTTTGTAGCACACATTGAATTCTTTGCAAATTATTTGTTAGATTCATTTATATTTCATCAAGCTCCGTGTTTTAGATGTGAGGAGAGTAGAATGATTTGTGTAAAATAATTATGCCTACAAATGTTTTTTAAAAAACTGGCACAAAATACTGCTCAGATTCTGGTTGGCTTCAGTTGTGTTTCTATTGTTTCCAAGTACTTTTATTTGACCACTGAGTTGTAAAATTGCCTATTGCTTTTGTTGTGTTCATGTCATGGTGTCAGAAGCACAACAGCTTTTACTTGAGGTCTTTTGTTTATGGAATAAAGTCATTCACAGGATGTTCTATCTTATTGAGGATATTATTTCAGTAGTACAGGGTTTAATATAGGAGTGATGATACAGTTTTCCATTCCTGACTGCCAGCTCACTGCACACCCTTGGAGCCTGCCAGGATTTAAACTGGTTATTTTGGTCCTCTAGTATGCAAGAGCGTTGGATTACATATCTCACAGTTAGTGCACTGAGTTAAAAACGTGCACGTTTTATAAGTTTGAGGAAAGGATTTCCCAACGGTCTCTGAAAATCTGAAGAAATACCCAAATTAGATCCTATGTATTAAAAGTCATACTTTTACATTTCTTTACTCAGGGTTATTAAGTCCAAAACCAAATCTAGAAAAAAACTGAAAATAGAATACCATTAGACACCAAACACAAAGGCTTAAAACGGGACAAACACAATATTTGCCTATTTCCACTCAACTTCTGCAACAAAGTCTTATTTTTGTGTTCAGAGGTGGAGAGCAGAGAAAAGCTTCCTGGGAATCCCAGAGTCCATGAGCTTTCCTTTGACATGTTGTGGAGTTTCATTCCTGAAAGGAGCACTGTTCTCTTTGTCAGTCATCAGACCTCCATAACACTTTCGACACACTGCCTGATACTTGTCAGCTCCACCGATCACTTCCACCTGTGACACAGAAACAAGTTTAATTTTAATGAAAGAAAAGGGACTGTTTCACTTACTTTGCTTATGGGTGGGTGATATGGCCACAATATCCCAACAACTCTAAGAATTATCTCAGTATTATTGAGTCAAACACATTTGGATTTTTAGTGTAAAATCTACATGTCGAGTTATTTGAGATTCAGGCTGTGACAGATTTCAGTAAAATGATCTTGTTATAATACAATTACAGCATTGAGAGACAAACCATAATATAGTTATTTATCCAACCCTGTCACACCACCACCCTTTGAAACATGTTCTGAAACACTTTGATTAACTTATTGAAGACTTTTCTTAGGTTTGCCTCCTCACCTCCTTCTCTGCTCCTATCCTCTTGGTGTATGCTGCTTCTTTGTAACACTGCATGCAGACGGCGTTGAGCTTCACTACACTCTCCGCTAGAGGGATCAGGTTCAGGATGTTTCCAAACGGCTACAAGATTGCACAGGATAGCAGAAAACCAGTCAGTACCAGTGAATGGATGGAGGTATAATTACATTACAAGGACAGAAGAGACACATTATAGTGTTGAGTAAAGAGCCCAGTCAACAGTCTGTTTTAGTGCTGCTCATGCAGATTGTTTTCAGTCCTTCCTTAAAAATGTGTTTCTTGTCTTTGGCATGTTGTTGTGGTTATACCCACAGTAGTGCTCTATCTGCTTTTGCAGCATCTGCACAATGTCCGTTTGTCAATATGAACTGTGAGTGTTTGCCAGTATCACGCTGACGTGGAGACAAACTCACTCACCTTTCTCTGGAAGGTTCCATCCAAGGCAGCTACAATGATTGTCTTCCCTAAATTGGCCATCTCCTCACAAAACTCCACTGTGTCTGGAAACTACAACACAAAAGAGGCACAGATTGAGTTAGAGAGGAATTCATCCCACCGAATTCCCATCCCTCACTAGTGCAGAGGAAGACATCCTGGTCTCTATGGAGGTGAACAGTAACTAGTTTAGGGCAAAAAGAAAGTTTATATACTTACAAACTGTCCTTCATCGATTCCAATAACGCAGGCTTTCAGTGCCAGAGCCCGCACATCTCTCAGACAATTGGCTGGAACAGCTTCCATTGTATTTCTAATAGAGGGGAAAAACAACTTAATTTTCAATAATTAAGTGTATTGTTTGTTACCTTGCTTCTGCCCTTTGATAACATTTTTAATTAAAATGTATCTGAGAAATACTTTTTAAATTAGTTCCTGCTTTATTCAGGAGTCCACCAAAATAATGCCTGACAGGAATCTAGATCTGCCAACGAAGCTCACCACTAGAGGTCCTGTTGCTCAGACAGTGGACCAGGTTGGTGAAAGACAGGATTTCTCCCAGCTAACTAATGCAATTCATGATTTAATTCAATTCAAAACAAAAGTGGACACATAATTTCATACTTCCAATGACAGCTCATCCACCCCTTGTTGTATTTCTTATTGATTACAGAGTTTCTAGTCTACTGACTTCATTACATCCCTAAACACAGAGACAAATATGTTTCTGTATATGTGAGGGACTACTTAAGTTAATTAAAACAGGTGACTTACTTGTCATGTGTGGCCATGCCAGAGTCAGAATAACGTGTGTCTTTGGCATATTTGATCACCAAGCAGTTGTACTGGGCTATCTGGAAGCGCCGCACTCTTCTCATCAGTTCAGTGCTGCAAAGTAAATGACAATCATTTAGTTAACATCAGTGAAACCCATCTGTACATGTGGCACATTTAATGCTGGTTATATATGAAAATACAAGGTATATTTTCAGCTATGTCACAGTGCCTCCCTCAGACAGCTTGCTACTGCACATTAAGGAGGGAATACATTTTATATATTGTTTAGTATAATGTGCAACATCATTGTGAAGTGGCCCGAAAATGTGTTTACAAAGCATACTGCAAAGCCACTGTACACTGCACCACATATGACTGACAGACATTTAGATTACATAGGTCGGAACCGAGTAAACCATGCAAGGAATTTGGCGGGATGTTAAAGTCTGGGCGGAAACACTACTAAAAAAAACAATGTTGTTTTAACATTACTCTAAAACAGTAAAAATGAATAACAGCAGCTAGCTACACCTGCAAAGAGAGTTGTTGTTTGTATGTTTGTGAATAAATAACTCACCTTTTTCCTGAAAACATCGGTCCAAAGATGACCTGCAAACAACAAAGGAAGGGCTGTTAGTCGCCGAGGAAGTCAGTACAGTTACAGTAACACATATAACATACACACCGAACGATAGGGTATACTATGTCCTGTTTAGTTAGTAGAGTGTGATATATTTAATACAATAACGTTAGCTAACGTTAGTAAATCCCTCGGATACGAACCTGGATCTGTCCCCGGGCTTTCATCGGTGAATTGGGAAGAACTCTTGGAAAATCCACACACTCCATTTTCCTTAATCACGTGATAAAAAAAAACTATACTAAAAACAGTTGAATAAAAACCCGAATAAGTTAGTAATTTAACGCCACAGGAAGGGTTGTCCTGAAAGTAAATGTTGAATATAGCGCGCAGGCGGTTGAGGGAGGCTTTATGCGACATTACACCAACGAGCTTAGAGTCACGTGAATCTTTCAACCTATCAACTTCCACAGACGGGCGACAGCTCACTACTGACGTCACGACGTTTGGGCCTTGGTGATTGGAAAAAGAACAACAGTCTGAACCATTGACACTATAACATACTACAGTATATATAGAACATAATACAGTATATGACATACTACAGTATATATATAACATACTACAGTATATAACATACTACCGTATATATAGAACATACTACCGTATATATAACATACTACAGTATATTCAATTCAATTCAATTCAATCTTATTTGTATAGCGCCAATTCATAACAGAAGTTATCTCAGGACACTTTTCAAATAGAGCAGGTCTAGACCGAACTCTTTAAAACATTAATTACAGAGACCCAACAGTACCACCATGAGCAAGCACTTGGCGACAAGGGCAAGGAAAAACTGCCTGTTAAAAGGCAGAAACCTAGGACAGATCCTCCGGCTCTAGGTGGGTGGTCGTCTGTCTCGACCAGTTGGGGTGAGAGAGAGAGAGAGACAGAGAGAGAGAGAGGCAGAGAGAGAGAGAGCGAGAGACAGACAGACAGACAGGTGCACAGCAACAACAGTATTGGCAATGGCAATCTAGCAGGACCATGGCAGGAGGCTCCACCAGGATCGACAAGAACCTGCGAGACGAGAAAGCACAAGAACTCCGGGGAAGAAGTGAAGTTAGTAACACGCATTAATGGGACATGAATGAGTGCAGAAAGAGAGAGGAAGGGAGGAGCTCAGTGCACCATGGGAAATCCCCCAATAGTCTAGGCCTATAGCAGCATAACTAAGGGATGGTTCAGGACTCACCTGATCCAGCCCTAACTATAAGATTTATCAAAGAGGAATGTCTTAAGCCTACTCTTAAATGTGGCGAGGGTGTCTGCCTCCCGAACCACAAATGGAAGCTGGTTCCACAGGAGAGGAGCTTGGTAACTGAAGGCTCTGGCTCCTGTTCTACTTTTAGAGACTATAGGAACCACAAGTAGCCCAGCATTCAGAGAACGTAGTGTTCTAGAGGGGTAATAGGGTACTATGAGCTCTTTAAGATATGAAGGGGCCTGACCATTAAGAGCTTTATAGGTGAGGAGGAGGATTTTAAATTCTATTCTACATTTTACAGGGAGCCAGTGCAGAGAAGCTAGTACAGGAGAGATGTGATCTCTTTTTCTAGTTCCTGTCAGTACTCGTGCTGCAGCGTTTTGAATTAATTGGAGGGTTTTAATGGACTTATTGGGGCAACCTGATAATAAAGAGTTGCAGTAATCCAGCCTTGAAGTAACAAATGCATGGATTAGTTTTTCTGCATCTGTCTGTGATAGTATGTGTCTAATTTTTCTAATATTACGTAAATGAAAGACGGCAGTCCTAGAGGTCTGCTTTATGTGGGAGTTAAATGACAAATCCTGATCAAAGATAACTCCAAGATTCCTGACAGTGGTGCTAGAGGCCAAGTTAATGCCATCTAGACTAACTATATCTTTAGACAGTGAGTCTCTAAGGTTTTTGGGGCCAAGAACAAGAATTTCGTTTTTTTCTGAGTTTAACATCAGAAAATTGCAGGTCATCCAGGATTTTATGTCCTTAAGACATGTTTGTAATTTAGATAATTGATTAATTTCATTGGGCTTGATTGATAGATATAACTGCGTATCATCTGCATAACAGTGAAAGTTAATGGAGTGATTCCTAATAATGTTGCCTAAAGGGAGCATATATAAAGTAAATAGTATTGGTCCAAGTACAGAGCCTTGTGGAACTCCATGACTAACTATAGTATTTGTTGAAGATTCATCGTTAACATGTACAAACTGCGAGCGATCTGATAAATATGACTTAAACCAGCTTAGTGCAGTTCCTTTAATGCCAATTTGATGCTCAAGTCTCTGTAAAAGAATATTATGGTCAATGGTGTCAAATGCAGCACTAAGTAGTACAGAGACAAGTCCATTGTCAGAAGCAGTCAGAAGGTCATTATTAACTTTAACCAGAGCTGTCTCTGTGCTGTGATGAACTCTAAATCCTGACTGAAAATCCTCAAATAAACTATTGTTATGTAGAAAGTCACACAACTCTTTGGCGACTACTTTCTCCAGAATCTTAGAGAGGAAGGAGAGGTTAGAAATCGGTCTATAGTTGGCTAAAACCCCTGGGTCAAGAGTGGACTTTTTAAGAAGGGGTTTAATTACAGCTACTTTAAAGGACTGTGGTACATATCCTGATAATAAAGAAAGATTAATCATATCCAGTAAAGAAGTGCCAATTAAGGGAACAACTTCTTTAAGCCGCCTAGTTGGGATCGGGTCTAATAGACAGGTTGATGGCTTCGATGAAGAAATGATTGAAGTTAACTGATGAAGATCGATAGCCAAAAAACAGTCTAAATATATATCTAAGTTTACATTGACAGAAGTCCCTGAACTTGGAGAGCCACTGATAACTGTTGATGGCAGTTGGTGATTAATTGTTTCTCTAATAGTAATAATTTTATTATAGAAGAAGCTCATGAAGTCATTGCTACTTAAGTTTATGGGGATATGTGGCTCAATAGAGCTGTGACTCTCTGTCAGCCTGGCTGCAGTGCTGAAGAGGAACCTAGGGTTATTCTTATTTTCTTCTATAAGTGCTGAGTAATAGGCTCCTCTGGCATTACGGAGGGCCTTTCTATAAATTTTAAGATTATCTTGCCAATTTGAGCGATATTCTGATAATTTGGAAGAGCGCCATTTCTTTTCAGATTTCCTAGATATTTGTTTTAACTGGCGGGTTTGGTGGTTATACCACGGTGCTAGTCTCCTATGTTTTAATAATTTCCTTTTTATAGGAGCGATAGAGTCTAATGTTGATCGTAGTGAGCCTGTAGCACTATCGACAAGATTATCAATTTCAGAGGGACTAAAGTCGTTATAGGACTCTGTTAAATTCAGACATGGCATTGAATTAAACACTGAAGCAATCTCCTCCTTAAATTTAGCTACAGCACTGTCAGATAGACATCTGCTGTAGGAAGTTTTGCCTAATGGCTTATAATCTAATAGTATGAATTCAAAAGTTATTAAATAATGGTCAGATAGGAAAGGATTATGTGGGAAAACTATTAAATGTTCAATATCAATGCCATATGATAAAACAAGGTCAAGAGTGTGATTAAAACAATGAGTTGGTTTATTTACACTCTGACAGAAGCCAATTGAGTCTATTAATGATATAAATGCATTACTAAGGCTGTCATTGTCAACATCCACATGAATATTAAAATCACCTACAATAATTACTTTATCTGATTTAAGGACTAAACTTGATAGAAACTCTGAGAATTCAGATATAAAATCAGAGTACGGTCCAGGAGCACGGTACACTATAACAAATAGAACTGGCTGCAATGTTTTCCAGTTTGGGTGAGAAAGACTAAGAACAAGGCTTTCAAATGAGTTATAATTTAGTTTAGGTTTAGGGTCCATTAAAACGCTCGAATCATATATGGCTGCCACTCCACCTCCTCGGCCAGTGCCTCGAGGAATGTGAGTATTAATATGACTGGGGGGGGGGTGGATTCATTTAGGCTAACATACTCCTCGTGGGACAACCAGGTCTCAGTAAGACAAAGTAAATCAATATCATAATCTGATATTAATTCATTCACTAAAACAGCTTTAGAAGACAGAGACCTGTTATTTAACAATCCACATTTCATTCTCTTATTTTGTGCTACTGAGGAGTTGGTTTTAATTTTTATTAGGTTTTTATGTTGAACTCCTCTTGTTTTTATTTCTTTAAATAATTTAAATAATTTAGGTGGTCGGGGGACAGACACAGTCTCTATGGGGTTTTGGGTGGGTGACTGTTCTAAAGAAAGCGCAGAGAAATGTGTAAGACAGCAGCTCTGCTTCCTGGTCCTATATATAACATACTACAGTATATATAACATACTACAGTATATAACATACTACAGTATATATAGAACATACTACAGTATATATAACATACTACAGTATATATAGAACATAATACAGTATATAACATACTACCGTATATATAGAACATACTACAGTATATATATAACATAATACAGTATATATAACATACTACAGTATATATTTAACATACTACAGTATATATAGAACATACTACAGTATATATAACATACTACAGTATATATATAACATAATACAGTATATATAGAACATAATACAGTATATATATAACATAATACAGTATATAACATACTACCGTATATATAGAACATACTACAGTATATATAACATACTACAGTATATATATAACATACTACAGTATATATATAACATAATACAGTATATAACATACTACAGTATATATATAACATACTACTGTATATATAGAACATAATACAGTATATATAGAACATACTACAGTATATATAACATACTACAGTATATATAGAACATACTACAGTATATATAGAACATAATACAGTATATAACATACTGCCGTATATATAGAACATACTACAGTATATATAGAACATACTACAGTATATATAACATACTACAGTATATATAGAACATAATACAGTATATAACATACTGCCGTATATATAGAACATACTACAGTATATATAACATACTACAGTATATATATAACATAATACAGTATATAACATACTGCCGTACATATATAACATACTACAGTATATAACATACTACTGTATATATAGAACATACTACAGTATATATAACATACTACAGTATATATAGAACATACTACAGTATATATATAACATAATACAGTATATATAGAACATAATACGGTATATAACATACTACCGTATATATAGAACATACTACAGTATATATAGAACATACTACAGTATATATACGATACTACAGTATATATATAACATACTACAGTATATATAGAACATACTACAGTATATATAGAACATAATACAGTATATAACATACTGCCGTATATATAGAACATACTACAGTATATATAGAACATACTACAGTATATATAACAT